TATTGTAGGGATAGGATAGTGGATGGAGTCAGAAATCAGGGAAAGAAGTCATTTAAGGATACCTTTCCTATAGAAAAGGACAGCTGTCATTAAAAGTAACACATGAACACCAAGATTCCTTCAAGTGTTCGTGTCGGCGTGCCAACGCTGTAAACCTAGAGGAAACACTGAGTCTGTTATTGAGAGACATGCTTCACACACACGTACAAACAAGACCTGTGGACATTAATGGAGAGATGTCAGAGTGGGGCTGCTACACAGAGAGCGCACCAAAGCTGTTTGGGGCTCGGTAACTTGCTCAGTACTTGGGACGTTGCCTGGCACCTCTCCAGCTACCTGACAAACTTCTGTATTTTGGTCCACACCAGGACTTGAATTCTGAATCTCAACCCAAGTCGCTACAGACTGAACTACTGCCGTTGAACTTCAAGGATGCAAAAACAAACAGATGAATGGGCCAAGAATATTTCCGACCTTTTACAAAACAGAGTGCAAAAGTCCTTTGTCTATTTAGGCCACCTGTACAAGAAAACAATCCACTGATAACTGCCGTTCACACGGATCCACAGATGTTATTTATTTTTCTGTTTTATCAGCAAAGATCAAAGTAACTCATCGTTGATTTAATGACACAAACAGAAGTTATCAGCATTTTTCTTCCACAACAAAAATCTTATTTTGAATTTACGTGTGCTCCTCAAACAATGTCGGACTTTAATCGATACGTGTTCATGTGTGAGACTCTCCATTAGATCTGTAAACCGCTGACTGGCCGCCGAACCTGCTGCAGCGACCACAGAAAAGCTCGTTCGGCAGGATTAGACGCTGAATCCACATTTTACAGATGATTGATATCTTTTCTCTCTTCTTCATTTTTGTCCACAGTCTCAGTTTGTACGTTTGAACTGTTCTCAGTTCTTTGTTTTCTCTTTGGTCTTCGCTGCTGTGATGAGCTCATGGTCACCTCGGGCGTTAATAAAGTTAATCTCTCTCTCTCTCCTCACTCTGCGATGCTCCAGGACTTCTCCATGTTCCTTTTATTTACCCTGCAGTTTTAAGGGATCATTTTCAGATATGTGGAGCAGTTTGAGGCTATTCGAACACCAGCACAGGTGTGTATTAGGTGTGTGTACAGCTCACCTGTGTAATTACAGTGGAGACCTCGTAACTGATGGTCATGATTGGCGATGTCAATCACATCAGCCGTCATACGTTACGCTGAAGTGTCCCAGAACAAAAAGTTCCTGACACCACGCTAACAAAGTTTGATTTGTGTAATACTGAATTTATCTTTTACAGATATAAAACTAAAAACATTTAAACTCAAATCAAGCTTCAAAGCTGCAGAGTCTTTACCCGGGGACAAATGACCGCTGGAGGAACTTCATCTTTCTCAACTCAGGGATCAGAGTCACCCTAAAATCCACCAGTAGGTCTCGCCGATATACAGTGGGTACGGAAAGTATTCAGACCCCTTTACATTTTTCACTCTTTATTTCATTGCAGCCATTTGCTAAAATCAAAGAAGTTAATTTGATTTCTCATTAATGTACACTCAGCACCCCATCTTGACAGAAAAAAAACAGAAATGTAGAAATTTTTGCAAATTTATTAAAGAAGAAAAACGGAAATATCACATGGTCATAAGTATTCAGACCCTTTGCTCAGTATTGAGTAGAAGCACCTTTTTGAGCTAGTACAGCCATGAGTCTTCTTGGGAATGATGCAACAAGTTTTTCACACCTGGATTTGGGGATCCTCTGCCATTCTTCCTTGCAGATCCTCTCCAGTTCTGTCAGGTTGGATGATGAACGTTGGTGGACAGCCATTTTCAGGTCTCTCCAGAGATGCTCAATTGGGTTTAGGTCAGGGCTCTGGCTGGGCCAGTCAAGAATGGTCACAGAGTTGTTCTGAAGCCACTCCTTTGTTATTTTAGCTGTGTGCTTAGGGTCATTGTCTTGTTGGAAGGTGAACCTTCGGCCCAGTCTGAGGTCCTGAGCACTCTGGAAGAGGTTTTCTTCCAGGATATCTCTGTACTTGGCCGCATTCATCTTTCCTTCAATTGCAACCAGTCGTCCTGTCCCTGCAGCTGAAAAACACCCCCATAGCATGATGCTGCCACCACCATGTTTCACTGTTGGGATTGTATTGGGCAGGTGATGAGCAGTGCCTGGTTTTCTCCACACATACCGCTTAGAATTAAAGCCAAAAAGTTCAATCTTCTTTCTCATAGTCTGGGAGTCCTTCATGTGTTTTTTGGCAAACTCTATGCAGGCTTTCATATGTCTTGCACTGAGGAGAAGCTTCCGTCGGGCCACTCTGCCATAAAGCCCCGACTGGTGGAGGGCTGCAGTGATAGTTGACTTTGTGGAACTTTCTCCTATCTCCCTACTGCATCTCTGGAGCTCAGCCACAGTGATCTTTGGGTTCTTCTTTACCTCTCTCACCAAGGCTCTTCTCCCACGATTGCTCAGTTTGGCTTGACGGCCAGGTCTAGGAAGAGTTCTGGTCGTCCCAAACTTCTTCCATTTAAGGATTATGGAGGCCACTGTGCTCTTAGGAACCTTGAGTGCTGCAGAAATTATTTTGTAATCTTGGCCAGATCTGTGCCTTGCCACAATTCTGTCTCTGAGCTCCTTGGGCAGTTCCTTCGACCTCATGATTCTCATTTGCTCTGACATGCACTGTGAGCTGTAAGGTCTTATATAGACAGGTGTGCCTTTCCTAATCAAGTCCAATCAGTTTAATTAAACACAGCTGGACTCCAATGAAGGAGCAGAACCATCTCAAGGAGGATCAGAAGAAATGGACAGCATGTGAGTTAAATATGAGTGTCACAGCAAAGGGTCTGAATACTTATGACCATGTGATATTTCAGTTTTTCTTTTTTAATAAATTTGCAAAAATTTCTACATTTCTGTTTTTTTTCTGTCAAGATGGGGTGCTGAGTGTACATTAATGAGAAATCAAATGAACTTTTTTGATTTGAAAGAGTGAAAAATGTAAAGGGGTCTGAATACTTTCCGGACCCACTGTATATAAGAGGCAGTCTGTTTTTGGGGAGGGGGTCACTCAGAGAGAGAGAGAAGGTGCTCAGCAACGTGCAGTCCCATCTGTTTTCCCTTTGTGGAGTTTCTCCTTCTAGCTGCAGGACGATAGTCGAGCTCTTAGCTTACGGGGAAAGTTGTAGAGTTCCAGCATCACGCAAGCCCCACTGCCCGACTCCGCTGGTCACTTGTTGACTTTATTTAAGGAGTCCTTCAATCAAAGCAGCACGCCACAAGCTTTACTTACTGACCAGTTTAAACATTGAAACCATCGTCTGCTTTAAATGTTTGAGCTAACGACGGACAAAAGATGTTAAAAAGTGGCGCTGCCAGCCTCGTCTGTGTATCTCAACAGTTTGAAGATTCACCTCAATTCATTGTTGCTTGCAAACATTTCAGGTGGCGTGCAGTGTGTGACGGTGGCGGCTGCACTGTCGTTAATGACGGTGCATTTGTCAGCATTGACGCAACCAATTTTTCCGCCTGCAGCTGCAAACGCTCTCTCCTCATTAAAAACATTTGACAAAAGCAGCTGGCGCTCAGAAAGAAATGCACTAGGTGGAAAATGCAAATTCTGTCAAACACAGGAGGGATGATGTTTAAAAATTAAATTAAATCTTTGTATACACGTCCTCTTTTCTTCTTCTCCATCTCAGCAGCGTCGTCCATCTCCTTCTTCTGTCCATGTCTTTTTTTTGTCTTTTCCTTCTTATCATCTTCGTGTTCTTTCAGAGTTTGCAGGTCAGCTGTTCAAAAGACTTCAGTCCACAATCCCGTCCCGTTTGTCCGACAGATAAATATTTCTCTCAGATAAAGTGTTTTATTTGACCTTAGCTGAGTGTTGTTGTCCGTCTGTACGGGGATGAGAAGAGTTCAGTGAGCAGCTTCAGCTTCTCCATCAGGAGGTAAAAAGTGTTGATGTGGAGTTTGAAGATCTTTATTTCTGATGAGGCAGTTTTTCAGACGGCGTTGAATGATTACTCCGATATCTTTGAATTGGCTTGCAGAGTGATTGTCACATTCAGGATGCCAAACAGTAGAAATTATTCTGAAATGTCTGTTTTGAATTCTGCAAGAAAAACAGAACAATCGAATAATAAAAGACCTTCCAATTGTTTCCAATAATTCAAGTTTCTTTGTTGCATGTCCCCAAATCTAAATAGAGCAGAAATAGTCCTGAATCAGATTTTGTTTGGCTCTTTGTGAAGTCTTTTTCAGAGGACTCATGGCGTCTGCCTGTCTCCTCTTTGAATAATTAAAGGTGGAGTCAGTAGAAATGTTTGTAAACATAACCTTCAAACTCCTCATCTCCCCCAGAAGCTCCGACCCCTGCAGGAAGCAGTGTGTATGTTCACTGCTTGTACCTACACTGCAAACTAACGCACGCTAGCACAAGCTAACAGGCGGTGTTTGTCCCCTGCCTGTCCAACAGGAAGCAGACCAACTCCACGTCCACGGGTAAAAGACAACACAAGGTTCCCCCTCGTTTTAGAATGAGCTCCATCCGCTTGGTGTTTCTCCTCACTGTGATCATATTTTCTCTTCTTTGCTGCTACGTCCACGTCTGTCATATTCACCAGTTTGAATCACGTCCAATCACTGAGTTGTATCCACTCCTAAACTCACCTGCTGCGCTGTCATTGGCTGGAGGAAACACACCAGCTCCCTGCCCAGAACCGTCCCGAGTCAACCAGAACAAACCAGAACAGTAAAATCCAGTCAGAGGACAGGGTCAGACACAGTCACCACCACACATGTACTGAGGCCCAGAAGGGACGATGGAGCAACTTTACTTTAGGAGAAGTCTGTATTTTATTTTGATGGAAGAAGCTGCTGACTCTCTTTTTAAGTGAATCATAGAAATGTCACCCTCGTGTTATCAGGATTCAAACAGAGAAATTCTCTTTTATAACCAGACTGCTGAATATTTGTTTTTTACTTTCTCTGGATCAGGCGGCGAGCAGAAGGAGGTGCAGCTATTGAAGCAGGACGCGAAGCTGGTCATCAACGACTTTGACTCGTCTAAGGAATACAACTTTCAGATCTTTGCTCTGAGTGGAGGAAAGCAGAGCAAACCTCTTCATGCCAAACATGAAGGTAAGAGTCTAATCTCTGATGTCTCTGCATGATTTAAGATGGTATCGCTGTAGCTTTAAGACGTGATAATATAATTGATCTCTAAAGAAGAAATATGTTGTTTAAGTCCACGGGCAAGGAAAAAAACTCTACAAACACTCGGGAGCATATTAAACAACATTTCGGACATTAAATATGATTGACTTCATTTTTCAACACCGGAGGTTTCTGCTTGATGTTGATAAGAACTTATTCACAACATTTATGACCTAACTACACACAGAACAAAGTGTGTCACGTGTTCCAGCCAATCAGCAACCTCCAGTGCTGTAAAAATGAAGTCGATGCTGAAGTGTAAAATCCTGCAGTTCCTCACGTGTCCACTAGAGGCCGGCTGCAGAAGCACAGGAAGTCGCACAGGAAGTTGCACACACAGTGCTTTATCAGTTTTGAATTTGAATTTCTCTTTTATTAACACTGTGGCATTTCTCTGTGAATTCTGTGCACACTCATGCCCTTATTGAGGTATCAAAGGGGCGTTTACCTGCAGAATGCTAATTAGGAAAAACTGGCACAAGCTTCCATCCTTTGCCGACCTGACATTCATTAAATTAAGAACACAGGTGGGAACAGTTCTGCAGATTAAGAACAGGATCCTGAATCTGCCAGAGTTTTCTTTGGAACTTCTAAAGAACTTATTTACCTCTGGGTCTGCACTCCTGGCTCCAATCACTGATGTCACTATAGACTCTGATGCCACCGTGACATCACTGATCGTGGTGGCTGCGAATAAACTCTCACATCAGATCTGGTAGAGATCCTAACAGCAGCACTTTGAGATTTGGATCCGCTTTGCTGTTTTGTGAGACAAGACCAGACAAGTTCAGCAAAGTGGGAAACCAACATAAACAACAACAACTGCAGCATGCAGAGTCTCACTGCTGCAGCTGTGAACGCACAAAGAGCTAAATGTGTTGTTTACTTTGTTTCATTCACTGACATTCCGCAACCTGCTGATGTTTGCTTTACACACTGTGCTCCATGAGAGACAGATTAGAAATAAACCTTTAAAGCTGTGTTTTCTCAAGAAATGTATTCAGTGCTCAGAATATCCTTCAGCTCGACAAACATAAAGGAGCTGCACAGTATTGCAGAATCCACAATTGCATGTTCTCCTATGCTGACGATTATAAATCTAAATGTGGCTGACGTTGTTTGACATTTAAACAGCCGCAGTCATCGCTGCTGTTTACTCTCTGAGGCCGTGTTGGTTTCTAAAAACTCTTCTGGAAGTCAAACCAAGAAACAGGCCTTGTGTCGTTGTCATATTTAAGATCCAGATCCAGTGTTTCCCACACATAGACGATACTTGGGCCGGGCGCCGGGTTTATTTCCCGACCTGCTTTATCCATAAAAGAAAGAGAGAGAGAGTCCGCTGGTACGTCCCCACAGTCTCATGTTAAAATGCTTCTTATGCCTTCTGCTGCAGCTGCAGCAGACATTTTTCTGCGCTGTTAAGGCCTGATTCCAAAACACAAGCGGTCGGGTAACTGCACCTTGAAGCGTATTTAAATATTACATCACGCAGTCATTTTGGAAAAAAACGTATCCTTACTTTGCAAATCAGCCTCACTCCAAAAACCGTGTCTAGTTCACAAACACCAGCGCTAACAGCCACGCACATTTAGAGTGAAGAAATTACACCTGCTGAGAGTTGGCAGTAACTGCGCCACCGTATTTATAAGAGATGCCACCTCTGTGTACCTTCAAAATAAAAGCTCTGTAAATAAAGTCTGCAAGTATGACTGTGACATGACTGTTATTAGAATAACCGGGGGTACATACAATAACCGCATCGATGGAGAAGCTCTGGAGCCGCCACGCACGAGGATGCACGATGGTCTGGCATCAAACCCTGATAAGAGCCCTGAAGAGACGCAAATTAAGACACAAAACACACAGCACGGACCTTTTGAGTGTGTGAATATCATCAGAGCTGTATGCTTTGAGAGTTAGACCTTGAGATGGAGCACATAAACCGAGCAAATTATGCACATTTGTTTGGCGCTATTATCGGCTGCATTCCATGAATCACGCCAGTAGTGGGTTAGGGTTACCTCCTACCTCCACCCCCGCCAACTCCACGGTCCAGGTACGGCGTCGTTCTGTGGGAATCGCTGAATGATCAGTCCTGAAAAAGTGATTCAGTGTCTCTCAGACTGCAAGACTGATTTGAAGTATTGATGGCTTGGCCTTAATAAATTAAACTGAAGCATCAGTGTCGACTCACTGAGATCCTCAGGCTCACCAGGAGCTAGACTTTAATCACACTGTGCATAATTGATCAGAGTTAATAAGGGTTTTGATGTTGTTTTCTTCTTGGCTTCTTTTCTTACTTATGTTAGTTTTTGTTGCTTTTCTGGAGCAGCTTTGCCCTCTCTCTTCTCTGGTTTGATTTAAATCCAGGCCGACTTGTTTTTCTTTCTCCTCTCCTTTCCGGCCCAATCTTTTATAAATGTAGATTGTCAAATCGTGTGTTTCTCTCCTTCCAGCTCAGCGATCAGGCGTGGAGATGGTTCAGTCTCAGAGGGCACCAGGCGGCGAAGTCACCCTGGAGAACAACGAGATCTCAGAAGGTAAGATCCACCGCAGGCAGACAGGAGGCAAACCAGGTGAACAGAAGGACTCAGACGTCTGGTACAAGTCTCTGAGTGTCTGGATACGAGATCCACTCTCTGTCAGAAGACGAGGAAGATGTTATTTTGAGGAGAAGAATGACAAAGAAGAAGAGCTGCTCACGACTCAAAGTTTAAAAAAGGCTGCTCTGACAGCGACATACGAAGACATCATTTTAAAACCCTGACCTTTTCAAACCGAGCTTTTGATTGAGGACAAGAACAATGGTGTCACAACGAGGTAAGTAGGAGCTGAAGAGGCCTCACAAACGGCTGCATTCACCAGGGAAGGATTTGGATTCACCTCGTAAATCAAAGGCCGGTTCTCCTCCTCTCTCTGTCCTTTTTGGAAACCATTTTGTAACGTTTAATGATTCCTGTCCTCGCTGGTTGAAGACAGAAGAAGGCCTTCTGAGTGTTTTATTCCAGCCCTTACAGAGTGATTATCATGGAGCCTTGATGATGAAAAAAATCGTTGGAAAGAGGAAATGAAGCAGTGCTGAAAAAAGTGGAGAATTCAAATGAGAGCCTGCAACAATCAGGAAATGAATCCAGAGCTGAAAATTGTAAACAAACCTATTATCATTATTGTGAACGTGATTGAAGCGGTGCACGCTGAGGTGCATAATCACACACCGCAGGAAATAACAGGAAACATGGAAACAACACAGGTAAGCCTTTTTCTTCACTGTGTGTCCGTCTGCTGCTGAGCTGCACTTACATGTGTCGGAGAAATTTATGTCGATGACGTATCCATTAATGTTTCTTTTAAAAGTTTTTCTTCTGTGTGCGCTGAAAAGCCTCTCATGTTTGGTGCTCATCATATTCATATCATATCTGTATTTGTGTTTCTGTCGGCTGCCAAACCAATCAGAATTCAATAAACATGTCGTGAAAACCTTTAAGCATAAAGGGGGATGTTTACTCTGCTGTGTGTTGTTGACAAAGAACCTGATGGCGTTCCTTTGCAGCTCTTGAATGTGTGACGTGTCGCTTTGTGTGAGTGCCATTGTGTTTGGAAGCCTCAAAAAGGAGGAATGGTGTTAATGATGGTGCAGATGGGACTCTTGGCAGACGTTTAGCCGCCGTCTCAAACCCAAATTACAGCTTCTGCTCTTAAAACTGTCACAATGGAATAAATCAAGTCTCTCTAAATCTTCCTATTAGTGCATCTCAATCTGCCTCATCCCGTTGATTCTGGAGAAACTTCTCCCCGGTCCTTCTTGTTTCAGTGTTATTAGATTTACCTTCGTTGACTCGTCTCCTCTTGTCTCTGTTCCTAAATAAGATTCAAACTTCACACTGTCATCCCAACGTTAACGCTCTCCTCACTTCAAATAAAGATTTTCAGATTTCTCCCCATAATTACAGACTGGATCCTCTAAATGATTATGATGATTTTTCTCTCTTTCCTTTTGCACTAAAAAAGGCTCGTAGTGATTTAGAGATTTCACTTCATTGTGAGGAGTTTTTCTCTGCTCGTAGCTGACTGTAGACTAATTTCATTCTTATATCCCGGGGGTCGTTTTAATCCCTCCTGAAGTTTCATCCAATGACAAAGTGTGATATCTTTAAACTATCGTTGGAGTGTGGCAGCATTAAACTTAAACCTATTTGAGTAACGGCTCCGTGGGAAAATGAACGGACTGCGAACATAAACATACCGTAATCTTGACATTTACTACTGAAGACTTTGACAGAGGGACATGCTGCAGGGCGAACTCACACTCGACAATCTGAACCATGCCCAAGCACGTTTGACCATCAAAGTCGAGTTTGTTTGACTAGTGAGTGTACTCCGTGCCGTACACTTACTTTACCCTGGCATGGTTCAAAGAGGCATGCTTCAGCCTGTCACAGCTGCTCTTAGACGAGCACAAGCACGGATACACAACGTGGACATGAAGTATTATCGATCCCTGCCTCCATTATTTGAGAAATCCTGGATCGTATGCCTCAAATAACACCACAAACTTAATAAAGTAGCTGTCATGTCCTCTGAGTTGTTCTCCAATGTGTGGACTTCACCAGCTTGTAAACTAATCACGTTACATGATCACGTAAAGTCATGCATGTGTTGTATTACGACCTTACGTATCAGAGGTAACCGTGCTCAGACCCGGTTAGTCCTGGAGCAGTGTGAGTGCAGGCCAGCGGGGGAATGGAGAGGGGGGCATTCAAAATAAAAATCTGCTGGTTTTTAAAAATCAACTTCTTTTTAAATGGTGGAGTCGCCCCCTGCTGTTCATACATGTTTTAGACATTAAATATGGAGGCTACGTCTGCTTCTTGTATAGCAGATGCTTCAGAATCAGAGTCTCTGAAGACATCTGGTTTAAAAAAAAAAAAAAAGGAAAATGCAACGACATGAGATGTGTTCGCTTGCAAACTCACACAGGAACAGTTTGAATTAATTTAGATTTATGTTGATACAGGGATGAATTACAGTGTCCTATAAATTACTGGGGTTCAGGGCATAGCGGTCTTCAAAGCAAGAGACGACTAAATTCAGCTGCTGAGAATGCACAACTCAAATACTAAGAATACGCTGATCTCAGGGAAATTCTTTGTTTTTATCAGATCTCCATTATCTCGTGACCACAAGTGAATCATTCTAAAGCCACACGTAATATTGTGTGGCTGTGCATTATTTTAAATTACAAGATGTCACCGGATCACTGTAAGAATCTTAAATTTTCGATGTTTCGGAAGTTGATCAGTTGTCAGATTTAAAGTTCAAACGCTGAAACCTGATGATTGCAATATTTCAACGTTTCTTCCATAAAGAAAAACAATCTTATGAACACCCCCCCCCTTCTCTCCCTTTATGTACGGATGTTTGTGGTGTCTCAAAGCGTGGGAGTTTGAGTGACACTTTTCTGATGTCAGCTGTTTCTCCGTAGAAAACTTACAGTAAGACAGATGTTTCAGATCGAGTGCTAGAGTTTGCACTCGCTGCACCAGACGAGTGAAAACAGAGCGGAGAGGGAGGGAGGGAGAGAGAGAGGGAGAGGTAGAGAGAGAGAGGGAGGGAGGTGGAGGGAGAGGGAGGGGGACGGCGAGGGAGAGAGAATGAGAGAGGGGGAAAGTGAGAGAGAGAGGGAGAGGGAGGGAGGAGAGAGAGAGGGAGAGTGAGGACGAGGGAGGGAGGGAGAGATAATCAGAGAGGGAGAAAGTGAGGAAGAGAGAGGAAGAGGGAGAGAAAGAGGCAGGGAGAGAGAGAGTCGGAGAGAAAGATAGAGGGAGGAGATCTTCAGCAAGTCCAAAGGGATCTGATCCAAAACTCAGAGATAATTGCAGCCAAGACGTCCATAAAAGTCCTTTTTGGGACTCGTTATTGCCTCTCTGGCGTTGCATGATTACTACTTACAGCCCGTCTTCTTCTGTTTCCTCCTTTTATCTGTCACTCTGTGTGAAGCTGAACCGTTAAAGAATATTCCTAATGTGTGTTTACTTTAACAAACACAAGCTTAGGGAAGCACGTGTTCTGCAAACGACGCTCTCAATGTTTGACTTGAACTTTTATATCGACGATCAAAATCTGAAAGTTTTTTAAGGTGGTTACAATAATCCAACACGACTTTTTTTTTTTTTTTAAAGATTTATTTTTGGGCTTTTTGTGCCTTTAATAAAGAGATAATGAACAAATACACATTCATAAATAAATGCTGTAACTCATATCACGATTTATCACATTTTAATCGCATGTTTGGAAATTCAATCCAAACAGTTATTACTCAGCTTTGATTTTGTACATCAACTGTTTTAGCTTAATTTACTTCCTGTTTGGATTACTTTGAAATAAAGTAAGGCCCTTATGGTAGATTGAAAGTTTGGATTTTAATAAAGTCTTAATTAACCAAAACAGCAGATACAGGAAATGAAACATGGATTAAACTTCTGTTACTCTGTCGTTCGTGTTTCTGTGCAAAATAAAGAGAGAGAAATATAAACCATTTATAATTATTCATATTAGTTTAAAATTAAGTAAAGAGTGATGTAATGAAAAGTCAGAGGATGGAGTTGAATCTCAGCTTTAGAAGCTGTCACCAGAGAAGACGGGGAAGAATCCCCCCCCGCGGGCCCGTCTGCGGCCGACATGGTAACAGTTGGTTATGTTTTTCAAAGATCTCGTGGCGTTTCATGATGCTCGCTCTGGCAGGACGACTCGCCATTTGGCCAAAGTGGCAGAAAATTGAGAAAATGTTCAGCTATGGTGGAAACAAATGGCCTTTCTTCAAACAAATTTAAATATACTTCTATGGTTTGTACCAAGGAGTTATCCATGAAGAGGAACTGACCGCTTTAGAGCGACAGAAATAAATACATCAATGGTTATTTTGACGGTCAATGTGTGATAAAATCTAATCTTGAGCAGTGACGTCCCTTGTGCACTCTCAGCACAGTCAACAGATCTCATCGTCTCCTTAAAGTCTGTGTTCCTCCTGCACATATATAGATGGTGAGAGGTGATTTACCTTTAGTTAGTCTAAAGTGGGAAAATGTTCGTGCTACGCAGCTGCAGGAGTATGGAAACTATAAAAAGGAAAACATAACCCACAGGTTACAATGCACAAATAGTCAAATAGCAGAAACAGAAGTGCCGTTGTTGCTCATGTTATCGTGTAAAACATGAAGAACAGCAGATTGTCATAAAGTTAAAGCTCTAACGGTCATAAGTCTCACAGCTCCCAAAGACATGTGTGTGAAGTTTCTTGTTCTAAATCCACTCTGATCCTGTATTTGATTTGAACAGGCTGTTTCTGTGTCTGTACCTTTAAATGTAAATGAGCTGTTTCTGACCATGAAGGGCTTGGGTGTTTCGGGCTTTCTCGCTCCATGCCCTATTGTTTACAGTGAGAAGGCAGACTCAGAGGGAAGAACAAACACCTAGCTGTGGGAGTGTCACCCACCTGGGGGAGGGGTTACTGCCCTTTGTGATGTCATGAAGGGAAAATCTC